CCATAAGATTATAATCCTTGATATCAAAAGCTTTGATAATCTTACGAAAAAGCAAGCGTCTTGTTAGCAAATCAGGCTCTTTTTCTTGGGTCATAGTCGACGCATATAATCGAAGGTCAGATGCTTTTTGAGGGGTTTTCCATATAATAGCTAATACCCCTATATTCCATTGAAGCTAGGGATCATTATCAGAAGCTGGGTTAGATACTAGAACCTCTTGGTTACTGTTCTTGAGCAATAATCGACTCATAAGGGGTTTAGCACGGTTTTTGGGCCATAGACCCGATACTTTCCATCCAGCTTTAAAATTATGAACTATTAGAGCTTCCATTCTAGTCTTCTGGTAGCAATGTAGGAAGCTACGCTTTCCAATTGGTGTAGAATCAGAGAGAGAATTCAAATTATTGAGTGCATGTCGATATGCATTTTTCAGAGGTGAGAAGACTGATAAATCTAATAGTTGTAGGACATGTGAGGTATGTGGTGATAGGAATAGAAGATATATATTGTTTTCGAAGCATCTGTATATGAAGGGCATAGTTTTATGACTTCCATGACTATCCAATATAAGTAATCGTGCATCGTCAGCCTCAGAGGGGGTCGTTTGAGGTATAAAGACCTTTTCCAACTATTTTAGCCCTGTTGTATCTGTAGTCTATCTATTATCAATAATAATAAAGTTCCAATCCTTATAAAGAGCACAATCCTTATAAAGAGCAAAATCAATAAGAAATCATTGTTGTTGAATATGTTTTCCCTTAAAAATGACAAGTAGTGTGAGTACTTGCTCTATCACTGAAATACATTTGATAAAAGATGTCCAAACTCTTGAACCAGGCTGTTTTTTCTGACTATTTCGATGCTGGGAACTTCCTACTACTAGGCCATTGAGACCCTGACCCTCCATTATATTAGTCTTGTCTATATTGTATCGATTTTCAGGTTTTATATCGATAATCTCTGGTAATTCGAGTTTTCGAAACTATAATGCGATAATATTATGTGAGGCATCCGAAACTCGGGCAAAATCGATCCTATACTATCTCTTGGTTTTAATCTCTGGATTCCTCTCCAAAAAGTTGTATATCTATTACTTTCCAAGGGTAAAATCGAGTTCTTTTATATTGAGGAAACATTTCTCAGTTTCTCGAATTTGCCAATGGATAGGATTAGTACCCAAGCTCTCCTATACTAATATCCATTCCACTAAACGTTTCTCCTGAATCGGGGCAATCTTTTGTATACTCTAATGACTTTTTTGATAGGAGACACAACCATTGATACGATTATAAAGTATAGTGCAAGTAATCCCATAATCCAAAGCAGCTTTTCGTATCGAAACACCATTTACGATAGCATTTAAAGCTCTGGTAATATCGTCTTCAATATGGAGTTTTGACATCATATAAATAATAGTATATCAAAATTTGAAATCGATTGATTGAATGGTTGTTTAATTATGAATTTTTGAAGAGGGTAGGTTGCTTAGGCGGTGTGGGTTTTTAGGGTGGTCCATAAGGGGGGGTGGTCCATATGTGGGGTAGTTGACTTATAGATTATAATCGAATCTTCTCACCTAATCGAATCCCAAAACCTCATACTATACTCAATACCCCAGGCCGAGTACTCATTCATATACAAAATCTCTTTGTAAATCTACTTAGTATTCATCTTGCTCTCAGTCTACCTTCAAGTATACTCAGTATACCACACATCAAATTCCTGCTCCCTTCCCTTGGCGACGTGCATTTTGTATTTGTAAAGTTGTTGTATACTTTTTCTAGGCTTGAGAATCTGTGTTTTATATACTCTAATCGAATATAATGCCTACTATTATTGTATATTTATCTTGATTACTTTTTTATTACTAGTCAGTTTCTCTCCTCTCTCATTTCATCCTCTATTCCTCTATCTAATCCCTCTCTATCCACATTCCCAAAATCTCTTTTTGACTACTCGTACTACGAATTTATAAACTTGAACCCCGTATATCTCAATATCACACAATATAACCACTTATTCCCATCCAAATTCAAAACCAATCAAAGTTTTCCTCTCAGACTAAATATACCGTACCAAAATAACTTTACAAAATAAACTCAACACTAGCAATCAATCTCAATCTCAATCTCACTCTCACTCTCACTCACCCACTCTATACAAATCTAAAATAAAAACCATAAATAATTTATTCCACTCTAATAAACAACATTATTATATACTCTACTCAAGTATAATCTCATAACAAAACTTCTATCCATTCGATTTATTCATTCATTCATCTTTTCTATTACTAGTATTTCAACTTTCCACTACTCGAGTACGTACAGTATCGCTAATAATCCCTTCCCCCTTTCTTCTATTCCCCTATCATGATTCATCGTTTATACCTCATTTCATTTCATTTCATTTCATTATATATTTCCAATCCAATCCAATCCAATCCAATCCAATCCCTTTCATTTTCTCTTTTATTTATTAACTAAATAACAAAACACTATATATATACTGTATATCTCCACATCTCCTCCTAACAGTGAAATTTAAATTATCGCTATATTACTATAATACAATCTCTCCACCCCACAACCTATACTGGCAACCTAATCTCATAACTACAATCACCATCTCACCTCTTGAATACATATATTTCCTATCTTTTCTTCACTACCCGGGCCTCAATCCCCATCTCACCCCTACCTCACATCCCCTATCTCCTCATCCATCAATACTCCATGCCACATCACATCCCCATCCCCATCCCCATCCTCATCCCACATCACTTACCCCCCTTTCCACATCCCTTTTCACACCCATCCATCATCTCCTCATTCCCTCACCTCAACCCCTCATCTTCTCATTCCCCACCCTTCATCCACATCCCCATACTCATTTCTTATCCCCCCACCCCTCCTCACCTTCCCTCATCCCTCATCTTCACCTCAACCCCCCAGTTCCTCTACCATCCCCATCATCCCAATTTCCCCAATTCCCCCAATCCCACCAATTCCACCAATTCCTCCACCATCCCCATCATCTCCATCCTCCCCACTATCCCATCCCCCATCATCCCCTCCTCCTTTTCCCTCTTTCACATCCCCTATCCCCCATCATTTCCCCCTCCCCTCCCCTCACACTCACTTCCATACACTCACTTCCATACACTCACATCACCACATCCACACACATCAACCATATACAAGAAACACGCTTACATTCAAATTCATATTCAAATTCATATCAACTACCCCTAAGACTATCTACTCTTACCCCTGTCCAACCTTATCCTCTATCTACTCCTATCTACTCCCAAGACTATCAACCCCTATCTACCCTTATCCCCGATCCACCCCGTCTGCCCCTATCTATCTACGTATGCTCTATACTTTAAGAAGCGACATATCAACTATCATTCCATACATATCACATCAAGTCAACTATCAACTCTCTTCTTTAAAAGTTCAAAGTTCAAATGTCAAGTCCATTCATCCACAAGCCTATACTATGCTATGCTCTGCTCTGCACTAACCCCCCATCCATAAGCCAAATGCACCAATCCATAAACATCTCAATCTCAAATCTCAAATCTCAAGCACCCTCATATAACACATCATCCATTTATTCGCTAGCTATAGTATTCCGAATTTGCATCAAGTTCCTTTTAAAAAAATCGCACTATCGACTTTCGCATTTATAAACATCTCAAGCAAGATCCGAATCCTGGATTGTTTGTTTTCCATTCGTTTGTACGAGTAATATCAGAAAAAAGAAGAAAAATCAATATCAAAATCCATCCATCTCAGCATATACTCGGCACTCACACACCATCATCTTGTTGTAACAAATTTGTGTCGAGCAAAAACTTCCACCCATCCATCCATTCACCAAATCATCAGTTATCAATCATCGACATCGTAAACAAAAAGAAACCAGTCCGTTCAAGAGATGAGAGACTTTACTAATAGTAACAAGTAACAACCCCACTCTTATTGTCCGATGACTGAGTTTAAGCGATGTCTTCCGAATTCTTCTCGCGCCGGAAACTTGGAAGTTCCATGTCATCCGAGGTAGAAGTGTATTGGTGACGGGTGTCTGTTGAAGTACTATGGCCAACATTGGCAAGATATTGTTTATCTTGGTCAAGAAGAATTGCTTGAGGCATAACATCAGCATAGTTAAGATCGGTATCAACAAGATCATCATCAAGAGAAGTGACTTCTTTAATGTTCATGAAGATGACTGGTGCTGCAACGATGAGAGAGCCAGCAAGAAGACTCCATGTAATGGCGAATTGAGTCATGTATGAATACTCCATAGCATCAATACGCCAGGCAATAGCAGCACCAGCAGATTGAATACCCTTGTAGAAACCCGCGAAGTTTGCTGTTTTTCTACCGGAGTTGGAGAGTGCACCCATGAACCTGTCAATTGTTAGTCATGATGAATAGTCTTAGGGATAGTAACACCTACCAGTAGACGGACAATTGCCAGACGGCATCATAAAATCCATAGGCAATATACAACACCAAACCTGCAGCATAGTCTTCATGTGTCCAGTCCATCTTACCCTCATAACCAATTATGCCAGTAACGTCGCGGTCAGGAACATTAGACTGGAAAGCATAACCTGCACCCCAAACAGCGGCAGTCAGGAGGATCAATACTATCAGACCAGCTCTAGCTCTGGTAGTTCTCTTATATCTTTGTATATCCAGCGCATAACCAGACAAGAAAGCACCAAGAATCTGTGCGAACCAATATAAAATGTTGTTCAGAGCTCGAGTTCGTGTATTGAAGTGTGCGCCATTGACACCATTAAATTGATATGTGTAAAACCAATTGGATGCAAAGAACATGGGAAATAACAGGAAGACATAGACGTTGTTTCTAAGTGTGTACCAAAGACCCCATATCTCTGTATTCCAAGTTGGATTCTTCATGAGAATGACGTGCGATCCATCGGCTCGTCGAACCTTATTCGCATCGCATAGGCATAGAGCGCTGAGTGCCCCAAGAAACATGAGAATGATGAAGCCAATGTATGTACCGTCGCTAACAACATGATTTGCAGTGTCTTTGATGTTCAAGGCGAGTGGAATCTGAGGTATATTAGTATGTAGTTTGAAAGCTCTGCGATTGAACTCACCAGAGCACCAAAAACACCCCCAAGGTTGAAGATTGACCAGAACCATGAAATGTATTTTCCTTTAGATTCTTCAGGTGGATAAGACATCATGATAGCACCTTGAGCTGTCCATAGTAGACCAGCGCAGACACCAAGTAATGCTCCGGCGAAGATGACATAACCAGTATTTTGAGTATGGCTGTAGCACAAATAACTTGAAGCGTAGACACAATAACCCAAACCCCCCAAACTTAAAGTGAGTCTAATGCCGAGACGATTTGCGAAGGTACCGGCAAAGAAACCGACAACAGAGAATGTAGAATAAAGGGCAGAATTGGCATTATCTGCTGGCTTTGCAGAGATTTGACCACCTCCACCAAGACCGCTGAGCGCATTGTACATACCAACACAGAGAAAGCATACGAGTGCGACCAAGACAAGTTGAATTTGTGGCGACGCGTAGCAAGGGAGGGCAAATCGACCAATGCGACAACGTTTGTAAATCCATCCTGGTGGAGTACTAATAACCGAAGCGGGTGCTGGAGGTTGAGTGGTCGTCGCCGTACTGTAGTAGGAATGATTGGAAGTAGCAGATTCTGGGTTTAAATGATCTGCCATCGCGACGACTTGAGTATTACGATGGCTTCTGGATTTTGGAAAGTTATTTGAAGAGAGAGAGAGAGAGTATCGTAGAAGATGTTCTTTGATTCGATCTTACAAAGATTGTTGAAGATGTAAGATTGAGGGTGGAAGATTGTAGATTGAAGATTGAAGGTTGAAGGTTGAAGATTGAAAGTAGGAAGGAAGTTGTGAAAGTGAGTGGGTAAAGAAATGGAGAAAGTGAGGGTTGTATTTTTAATTTTGAAAATTGAGGATATTCGCATTCGCTAGATCAAGATCACCAAAATTGATTATTAAAGGTGAACACGCGTTTGATATTGAAAGAAGTTCTTCAATAGGTACTGTAGAGAGAGAGAGAGAGAGAGAGAGAGAGAGAGGGGAGATTGATATGTTTTCATATCAAATATCAAGTATCAAATATCGCAATATCAAAGTTCAAAGTATCGAAAGACTTATTCTCGGTGCTTCGGCCTTATTATTTTAATCGAGGGGTTCAGGTTCTCCAAATGCTCACTCTCAATATCAGATTAAGAAGGGACGATACTATTCCTACTCCTGTTGTCGGCAGTGACCAATTGTAAAAATAAAATAAAATTTAATTAGGAAAGAGCAAATCAGGAATTGAAATTCACCTTGATCGCGACAACACTCTATCGTACTAGATATCGTACGATAAACTTAAAGCTATTAACCAGTTATGTAACTTATATGTTTTTTTGATATACTTGATAGAAATCCTTCATTTCATCCCTTCTCATTTCCACTAGGGAATTTGATTTATGAACAGCCAGTGATTTCTTGCAATACCACACCATATTGCAAGATTGCTTGAATCCCAATTTCATTATTTGATGGATTTTCAAAAAAGTATTGGTATCAGATCAGTGATATGCCATCCACATCCAGTCCGTTGGTACCAAAACACTCACGGGATTGGATAGACCCAGGAAGGAAGATGAAAGGATCAAACTCCATATTTGAACCAGCGCCAATCTAGGAATCCGACAGTACCATTTTCTAATGGGTACCCCCACCCCATTAATGGTCCCTCAAAGGACCCTTTTATGGTGAGATTGAACCAGCGTCGGTATCTAGAATGCATCTTGTAGATATTCTTCAGGAATCAGGAGTCCTTCTTGAGGTTTAAATTTCCCATCCTTGGCATCTCATACACCTTGCCGGTATCAATCATCAATGTCGTTCTCCATCCTCGATCTCGGCGTTTAGAGCGCGTAATTCCATGGTCCAAACGCAGGACCCATGCCTGAGAATAGATAGTGTAACAGAGTTTCATATACGGCTCAATTTGTAGATAATAATAAACACCTCAAACTCAACGTCTTCAAGAAATGAAGTTAAAGTTCTTAAGTGTGATCTAGAAGTGCGTTTGCCTTTTCAACTTTATATTTCGTGGCTTGGCTGAAGTCCTACTTGGATACAGTCAAGACATCTATACTCGACAGCTTGTCGCAGAACCTGTACTGCTCAGTAATGATCCTCAGGATTTCCCAGTGGGGTTGTTGTGTGTCTATAAATTTGCAAGATTCTTGCAACTTCAGATGATCCCATTATAATGGAGCACCCATATCCATTCTGGAAGGCGATGCAAGAATCTTGCAGTCTTAGACTATCCCATCATAATGGAGTACCAGTACCAATATTCATCCTGGCAGGCGTCGGTCACAAGAAGTATGCAGCATCGAAGTCGAAGCCATACCGGTATGTCAGAAGGATCTGGGGATGGTGATGCGATATGCAATTACCAATAGTTCATTTCCTGTGCATATGCGCATCATTCTTCATGACTCTCCTCCAGTTTCAGGAGGTCTCCCCGCACACACTCGTGCATTATATTATTTATTGACTTCAAAGACGCCGCTTCCTTCAAGATACGTGAACGAGATGCGTGAAAAGAAGAAGGATTGTGTCAAAAGATAGGTAGGTATGCGATTAAGATAAATACCGAGTGGTGTGTGCTAATTTCCAATCATTAAATACATTTGGGCGGTTGGAAAGGCAACAATCCCTACTCCGCCGCATTCTCTAGCTCCTGCTGCCTGGAAGCCGATGTTCCCGAATTTTGAGTAGGCACGGCTCCGGACGGACGGCCACGGATTCTTTTCGGATAAATGTACACAAGCGTATACATTGGTTGGAACTTGGAAGCTTCATGGACCGGATGAGACCCAGACCGGCCGCCCTGATAAACCATCGTTACCGGTACATCCTTCCGCTAAGTCAACGACATCCGGTATGAACAACATATATATATATATATACCGGTATCCATCAATCGAAGGACCTAGAATAGAAGATGATGATCTGTCAATCTCGAACATGCCAATAAGTCACAAGGCGATCTTCATTGAGCTAAGAAATTCCAAAAATACCGTGCATCTCGACTCACCGATATCAAACACGAATACGTATACCGACGGGAAGCCGCTGAAGGATCTTAGGCATTCCTGTTCCTGAGACCACATATGTCTTAACAGGAACACAAACACACAGTGCGGATTAAGCGTTACGATCTTGAGGATGAGGACTCTTTAATATCGTGGATCTCTGGAATACCATTATATATACGAATACTTCAATTCAAATATACCAGTGTAATATTATGATATCTATCATTCGGTGGTACTCCGGTATCTACCTAGGTAAGTACAACATCGACCATAATGATCAACAACACAGACAATTCTCAGCCCCCCCAGAGAACCCATGGGACACGAAAAGGTGGGGTAATTTCAACTCCTTTTATTCACAAGTTATTCAAGAACCAAAGATCAAAAAACCTAAAGGCCAAAAAAGTGGAATGACTTTCCTGGATTAAATCATTTTTGAAAAGAGAAGAATGACTTCTTCGATAGAATACCCCTTTGCGTTGATTCCGCGCTTATTTATACACTGTATATCCATGTGTTCACAACTCTGAGTAAGTTGGCGGTAATGTCCTATTATGTTTCAATTAGTGGAAGAATGGAAGAATGGAAGATTCATGACATGGGTAAGGAGAACCTCATGATGGATGTGTGGTGGGCTATTCGTATCTGGTGCACGTTCCTTAATTGAATGGGTGGGAGAGGAGTGAGAGGATAGAGAAGATAGAGAGAGGTTCAAACAAAGGATACAATATTTCCCCTCAATGTAAATTTGGATCAAAAGTCACCATCATTCTTTTATTGTTGTACATTCAATTGTCCAGTACAAACTTAATTATTATATCTTCTATATACCTCATTTAAGTTTTCCAGCCTCAATATTCAATACCAAGCTTTAATCAATAATTTTGGTTGACATCTTCATGATCCCTCATCAATAAAGCGGGCTGATCTGCATTCAATTGATATTTAGCAAGCTTAGTACCTTCATCATCATCACCAACCAACACAAAAATCTCCACCTTGCCTTTCGCATTCGATCCTAATAACACTTCTTTAACTCTCCAACCCTCCAGCTCTCCAACATCCGTCCTCCATCCTCCTCTTTCCCCTCCCTCCTCATCCCCATCTCCCCACGAATATACCCTATCGATAATGGCATTCCGACAAAGACTCGCGAAACCTTTACTTTACACAATTGGAGCCACATCAGTTGGTAGTGGCATCCTCTACTACACATATCGACCACGAAACATTCCCGGTTCTGATTCTGCCGTCGTCCCTCCCTTTGGCGCAGATGGATATTTCCGACCTCCACGATTCCCCAAGATCAAATCAAGAGCAGAACAAATCGCAGATTTAAAAAGAAGCGGGGAATCCCAAGGTGCATCTGCGACGGCTACACCACAAAATGAAGATGATGTGTATGATTTACTAGTCATCGGTGCGGGAGCTACAGGCGCGGGTGTGGCGTTAGATGCTGCCACTAGAGGATTGAGAGTGGCGGTAGTGGAAAGAGATGATTTTAGTAGTGGGACGAGTAGTAAGAGTACCAAATTGGTTCATGGCGGTGTACGATATTTGGAAAAGGCGGTTTGGGAATTGGATTATAATCAATATGCGTTGGTGAAGGAGGCGTTGAGGGAACGCAAATATTTCTTGGAGACGGCGCCACATTTGTCGAGTTGGTTGCCCATTATGCTGCCGTTGGATTCATGGTGGAAGGCTCCTTATTATTGGGCGGGTACGAAAGCTTATGATTTCTTGGCTGGTTCCGAGGGGATTGAGAGTTCGTATTTCTTGACCAGGAGTAAGGCTTTTGAGGCTTTCCCTATGTTGAAGAAGGATAATTTGGTGGGTGCGTTGGTTTATTATGATGGTGCTCATAATGATTCGAGGATGAACGTTTCATTGGCGATGACTGCGGCTTTGTATGGAAGTACCGTGGTCAATCATCTCGAGGTTACTGGTTTGGAAAAGGACGCCAACGGTCAATTATGTGGCGCAACGGTCAAGGATATGGTAGAAGAAAAGGATGGCAAAACAGCAAAGGAATTCAAAATCCGAGCGAGAGGTGTAATCAACGCCACAGGACCATTCTGCGATTCCATTCGAAAGATGGACGATGCAGGAGTAAAGGAAATCGTAGCACCAAGTTCCGGTGTTCACGTCATTCTTCCTGGTTATTACAGTCCTCAAAAGATGGGTCTTATTGATCCTAAAACTTCAGATGGTAGAGTTATTTTCTTCCTTCCATGGCAAGGAAATACCATTGCTGGTACCACCGATTCTCCCACCAAAATCTCCTACAACCCAGTCGCAAGCGAAGAAGAAATTGACTGGATTCTTTCCGAAATCCGCCGCTACCTCGCTCCAGATATCAATGTCCGCCGTGGTGATGTTCTCGCAGCTTGGTCCGGCATTCGTCCTCTCGTCAAAGATCCAAATGCAAAGAATACGGAATCTCTCGTCCGCAACCATCTCATTAATATCGCACCTTCTGGTCTCCTCACATGTGCAGGTGGTAAATGGACCACTTACCGTCAAATGGCAGAAGAATGTGTTGATGAAGCCATTTCCGCATTCAAACTCCAACCTAAAGCAGTATCAAATGCACCAGATGTTTCCGGTACACAACTGCATGATGATGGAGCTCACTTAAATGGATCTTGTCAAACTCATCAAGTCAAGCTTGTCGGTGCCCATGGTTTCTCCAAAACCCTCTTCATCAACCTTATCCAACACTTTGGTCTCGAAACCGACGTCGCCAAACATCTCACGGAAAACTATGGTGATCGAGCTTGGACAGTCGCATCTCTCTCTTCACCAACAGAACAAAGATTCCCGGTTAGAGGTGAAAAGATTAGTCCCCTGTATCCATTTATTGATGGAGAGGTTAGATATGCGGTTAGACATGAGTATGCTCAAACTGCAGTGGATGTCTTGGCTAGAAGAACTCGATTGGCATTTTTGAATGCGCAAGCGGCTTTAGAGGCCGCCCCAAAGGTTATTGATATTATGGCTGGGGAATTGGATTGGAGTTCAAAGAGGAAGGAGACGGAGTGGACTGATAGTGAGTTTTCCCTGGTTATACTACCTTCACATTCCCATTCACATTCACGTTCACATTCCCCCCCTTGATCATTTCCTCTCTTCAAATTAATAGATTAATAAATACTAACCGTACACCTCCCTCTTCACAGCCGTCCAATTCCTCGAATCAATGGGTCTCCCCAAATCCAAATTATCGGCAACGAGAAAACAGGTCGAAAGTGGTAAAATGGAGTTTAAAGATTCGGTCGAATATAAAATGTATAGTAGACACGATGTGCCAGGAGATGAATTGGAGAGTGATAAGAGGTTTGGGAAGAATATGGGGTTGAAGAGTGGGAGTGCGGCGGAAAAGTAGAGGGGATGGATAAGAGGATGGAGATGGGGAGGGGGAAAGAAGGGGGGTGATTGTATATGATATAATGGATGTATGGATGGATAGATGGTTGGATGGTTGGATGGTTGGATACTTGTTTGTTGGTTGGTAGATGATTCAATCGTTGTTGTTGTAGCTGTTTGTTATAGCTACTGTTGTAGCTACTGTTGATGCGTTGAAATGAGATATCAATGTGTTGGTGTAATCTAGTGCGGTGCGGTGCATGGGTTTGCGATGGCTGATAGCTGGTTGGATGACTGAACAGATGGATGGATGAATGGTTGGTTCAATGATAGGATGTATTGATTGGTTGGATGGATGAATAGATGGATGGTTGATTGATCAATTCGATGACAGGACGGGATGTATTGGATATGACATGATAGGGTGGGATATGATAGAGATGGTAGATGGGATTGAGAATGATGGATATATGAAATCTCAATAAATGCATTGTGTTTTGTATGTTGTATTTTGTATGTTGTATATTGTATATTGTGAATACATGAATTTATATGAATATACAACATACAACATGTATCTACGAGTATATACCGGTCGGTATTCATGTTATTCATACTCGAGTATAAACTTTACATAAACTTTACATAAGATTTATACAAGATTAATATATGAATTATATATGAATTATACAAACTTTAACTTTAACTTGCAGGTCTATCTGTATTTGTAGTTGTATTTGTATTTGGATTTGGATTTGGATTTGGATTTGGATTTGTACCCGTGCCTGTATCGGCTGGGAATGGAGGGAAGGGGGGGGTAGGGGGATATATGGAGGGAAGGGGATGGGAGAGTATGGATGGATGTATAGAGGGAGGGAGGGAGCATGGAGGGAGTATGAGGTGGGAGTGGAGATGTGGTTGGAGTGGAGATGGAGGGAAGGGGGAGGAGGTGAGGGTAAGTAGGAGGGGTAGGGTGAGGGATAGGGGGTGATGGAGTATGAGGGTGAGGAAGGGGGGAGGTAGGAGGAGGGATGGAGGGACTGAGGGTGAGAGATGGAGAGGTGGATGAATGGAGAGGTGGAGGGTGGGAGATGGGGGTGAGGGGATGGAATGGAGGGATATAGGAATGAGGGGTAGAGGGAGGGAGGATGAGAGATGGAGGGACCGAGGGTGAGAGATGGGGGGTGACGGGATGGATATGGCGATGAGGGAGCGGGGGTATAAGGGAGGGGGAGTACCGGTATAAGGAATAAGGGATATTTATCATAGGATATTGTAGGATATTATAGGGTGGGTGAGTGGATATAGGGGTGGCAGATATACGGGTATAAAAATGAATTTGTTTTTGGAAAGAGGGATGAAGGGGTGAAGTGAAGTAAGGTGGCAGGAATGAAGGGTGCCGTAGATACGATGGAATGAGGATAGGCATAGGAACGATATTTGAGTAATAAATTGAAAATTATGCATGTTTGGAGTTTGGAGTTTGGAGGAGGTGAGGTGAGGTGAGGTCATGTGAGGTGATGTGAGGTGAGGTGATGTACTAATGATAATAGAAGAACAATAACGATTAGTAGATATAATAGATACCTAGATATATAAGTTAAGATGATGATGATGATAATGATACACAATATAACGATGAGTGTAATAAACTAATAATAATAACAATTTATTATTTATTTATTTATTTATTTATTTATTATTTCCTAACCTGTCTGTCTGTCTGTCTATCTATCTGTTTTAGAAGTTATACCTATACTACTCTGAGTCTGAGTAACTTTGAAGAACTCGAGTATTAAATTGACTACTACTCGAGTAGTGAGTCATCTGGTTGTTTCTGACTGATTGTTGGTTTGATTGATTGTTGGATTGGTAGTTTGGCTGGTTAAGTTGGTTGGTGTTTTTATAGGTGTATGTTGTTTGGGAATTTGAGATTTGAAATTTGAGATTTGAAATGGGGAGTTGGGGGTTGGGAGATTGGAAGATTGGAAGTTGGTGGAGACACTGGAAAGTTGAGGGAGGATGGATAGGAAGTGAGAATGAGGATGAGGATGAGGATGAGGGGATTCCAGTTGAAGAATATAGTGGGAAGAGGTGGGAGAGAACTGTCTAGGTGGGTGAGAGTCGAAATATGAATAATGATAATGATAATAATAATAACAAACGAGAATAACTAAAAACAAATTCAATACTATTTAATGACAACAGCATAGGAATGAGACAATAGTATTACGAAAACCATTACAGGAAATCAACAGATAATCTTTACTAGTAATTGTTCAGACCTCAAGATATCTATGTGAAAGTAAATACTCGAGTAGGAGTGGAGTAGAGAGGGAATAGAAAATGTAGAGAGAATCAGAGATGAAAGGATTATATAGTTGGATTATTGTGAGGATAATGGAATATAGAAGCGATTAGTAGGTGGTGCTAGTGCTGGAACTGGTACTGGTACTGGTACTGGTAGTGCTAATTGGTATAATATTCCTTTTGAGTAATGATTGGGGGAATTGGTGATTGGAATAGAGTAGATTAGATTGGATTAAAGGGGAAGGGGGGGTTATATAGAAAGATGGATTCTGCAGTTTAATCATGATCTTTAAAATAAAAATAAAGATAAAGTTACTAGTCTATATAAAAATCGAGAAAAAGAAAGATAATAAGAATTAGGGGATGCGTATTGATTGGTACTAGTGTTGAGAATAAGAAAATAACAAATTTAAATTTTTAAGGAATATTAATCTAAAGAATATACTAAGTAGTTGTGGTCAGATTTGGGTTTTATATAAAAATGGACAATGGAGATTATTTTTATTTTCAGTATAGGGGTTAGAGACTAGGGAGTTTGAAGAGGTTTGATTAGATAAAAGATAAGAAGATGAGAAGGTGAGTAGATGGGAGGGGGGAGGGGGACAGAGGGACGAGAAGGGAGGTTTTGATTGAGGTTTTGATGAGGTGTATGAGGTGTTAGTGAGGAGAAGAAGAGAAGAATGGGAATGGTAGTGGTAGTGATAGTAGGAATATGGATTAATAATTCATGGAATATAATTTTAAAAAATGTGCAGAAAAATTGTGAGAGTCTAGATCCAGGGGTTTGTTTACCAAGATAGTAATAGTAAAGAACAGAATAGAATTGATTTGTGAGTACCGGTATAATGGACTCTGGGTGTAAAGAAAATTTATAGAAAAACAATTTTCTACTAGCTAGAGATTCGTTCGTGGTATTATATTGGCCTAAAAGTAAGATAGAGAATCAAGCTTGTCTGAGAATACTTGTAATGATGAGAAATATAGTTGAGGGGTATAGGTATGGGTATATAAGAACTTTAAAATTTATTCATGGTATCTATATATAGCAAATTAATCATTTCATACCGACTTGATAGGAATCTGATAGTGTTACTTTTGGCTTGAGGTCGTATGGAATCGGGAACTTGGGTATCTGCTAGTGGGGTGTTTTGAGATGAGGTGGGAAGGACTCGGAAGGGGAATGTTGAGGATGTTGAATATGAAATATGATGGAGAGGAAGGATAAAGTCACGAAAGTGGGTGAAGAAAGTGATGATGGTAATGATGGATATGCTTCTGAAGTAACAATAATAATAGGGAAATAGTTAGTGGGAGTGGAAGTTTATATTTTGGCAATATTGTTGGTGTTTTTTGTGCAAAGAGATTGAATTCTACTCGAGTAGTAAGTAGATTGAGTGGTAGATTTGATGTGATGTAGAGGACTCAACAAATCTTTTAGCTATAGGCTTAGCAATGTTATAGAAATTGCTGATTTGAAGGTATGTGAGGAGGGGTATATATATCGACATGCGTACAAAAATGTATCTCGCTTAGAATTTTGAAGTTTATAGGAAAATAAGGGATATATTATTAAGATTTATTCAAAGTTCTTTGTATATGGAAAGGGAATTTTTACGGTAAGTAAGAGTAATGAGAGTGTCTTCCTGGATTGGTTTTCGGCAGGGAAAGACCATAGTTTTCTATGGGTTTCAATCATAAGGAGCTATTGTAAATGACTTGGAGTCGTATTGAGTGTTGTATGGGGGAATTCGGGAGATCATGATTAGGTAGGAAAGATAGGTAGGAAAGGGACAATGATATAACTATGAGGTATAATGAAGGTGATAGTGTAATTATAGAATGACACAAAAAGTATTGTTGTCAAGTATGAAGATGATTCCGTGGTGGTAGTGGTGAGCTAAGATGTCTAGATCTTTCTATATCCAAGAAAGACTCTGAAAGAGAAACAATAAAATTTACTGGTTGCTTAAGGAGTGTTGCCTTTGCGCTGATATAACATGAAATGATGTTGGAAGGAATTGAGTTTTGAAATTGCGGTAATAAATAGAGTAACAATTTTTCTTACTTACGTAGATCTATATCAAAGGTAGACATCGATAAATCTATTGGAAGACAAGGAAGAGAATGGGAAATTTAGTGAAATATAAATATTATGAATTTCTTTCATTTCGATTTTGAATGGATATATACTGAAATGACATTTGAACCATCAGCAATAGGATTATAGGATATATAGCTGATATTACTCTGGGTCATGGAATATTTAGAGAGTATTAGTAGGTATTTAGGTGAGGTGCAAATATGAAGAAGTTGGGTAGTATCAATGATGATGATAGTAGTTGAAATATATTGAGAGTGATATTCTCATTGTAACCCTAATGATATTGAAACTATTGATCTATCAACAACAACAAAAGCAACACCAAACACATGTATAAGAACACTATACTTAAATAATCCTACAGCCTCTAGCAAGTTTTCATTGTTCCCTCCGAAAAGCCAAAAAACTTCAAAGATCCATATTTCTGCTTCATCATTACATCTCTTGAAAGCAGTATGTTTTGAAAAAATCATTGAAAGGAATTATTGGTACATCTATGGTTTTTGTTTGTTTTGGTAAGGGAGCTTACAATGAAAATTCAGATGATGAACAAGGAAGATATACTATATCACAGAGGAAAGATATCGATGTAAAGTATATCAAAGCTCTCCTATCCTATATCCAAAAGCCAAAACAACAAAGAACTGTCTTTCAGGGAGTTTATGTTGCTTTGAAAACAGTGGATACAGAGCGTAGGAACAGTTTCAAAGCTTGTCTTCTCTACTCAAGTACTAGAAGGTGGGATAAAATGGCAGCGAAGATGGTAATGCGAGTAATAGTAGAGGGTAGGCAGCGAAGATGGCAATGGGAGTAATAGTAGATGCAATACGAGTAGATAGTAAGAATGGAGAATAATGTGCTGAAATGCTAACGATGAAATGAAAGAGGATGATACTCAATATCAAGTTATCAACTATGTTGAAGTATTCAATGACAGCAAAAATAATAGAAAAGAACACATTGGTCATTCAAGTTATCGTCATTATGAGCAAAAGCCTTCGGGGTGTCAACCAGCCTACTTCTCCTCCTCCTTGATCCTCGAGTGACGCAGTATATATTAAATTGTAGTAACTGACTTTTAGTAAAAACTTATTGAAAAGCGGTTGGTTTTGGTTCATACAATTTTATAAAATCTTTAGGAATGAAGGATGAGGGATCTAATGTTTAACGAGGGGGTAAAAGGGATTACACCGGTATCCTCGCCATATAATACACCACCCCAATTCAAAATCTTCCTCCTATCCTACTTGATTGTCATCCTATTGGAAAACCACATCAAATCAAATCAAATCAAACCAAATCAAATCAGATAATCCCATCAACCTCACACCAGTCACATCTAACAAATTGGAAAATCCCCGAGGATCTAAAACGAAAATCCATAGTCGTATTGCAGAAATAAATCCCTTCATTATGAAAGTTTTTGATTCGATTCATTCGTTCATTCGTAATTAGGCTGATGGTGCGGTATTGGATCAGGCTTTCACTAGACGGAATGGCAAGTTGTAGCATTTGACCTTGGCGAACAAACAAGCCTGTGTTACTTTTGCGGTGTGTACGTAAATATTTATTTAGAGAGGTTTATATAGAAGAGTACAATAGTAGACACCATGCTCTACTATGAAGCCATTCGCATTCACAGCCTTCGCTTCTTCACATTTAATTATTAACCAGGACTTTAGTTAAATAGCATATTGTATTACATAGAAGTATCTAAAGTACATTAAAAAAATCATAATAAGCCCATCTATCTATATGGGTCATCACTTAAACCAGCCAGCCACCGCATGCATGCATCGTCGATATATATATATACAAAACCAAACTCCGTCCGTTTTCAACCCATTAAAGCGGATGCAATCACCGTTTCTTGCCTTGAACAATCATCATCTATTGCCGTTTCGTCGTCTGACACTTCGAGAACATCCAACTTACTCGTCCAACATGTCGTTATGTATCACTCCACTCCACTCCACCAATCCGATCCATTCTGCTCAAATGCGACCCGCTTACACCTCACATCCTAATTTCATGATGCAGCAGCACCAACATCCTTCTCAGTCACACTGGCAATCACCTTCTCGTCGTAATTCTTCACCGCCGATGTACTGTCCAAACTCACATCATCGTCAAAAACGTCCACCTTCGTGCTTGCGAAATTCCTCGCACTAACACCTCTCTCAAATAGTAGATCGAGTTCGGCGAAAGAGCGGCCGTTGGGTTCGGGGAGGCGGAAATAGGTGTAGATGATGCAGAGGAAACATATTGCACCCTGGTTTGATGTTAGTATATGGTTAAAATGAAGTACGGTAAGATCTTGTAAGGTGATGGGAGCGATAAGAGTGAACGAAGAGTGATAAACAAACATACCCAAAAGAACCCCGCATAATTTGCCCAATTCCAAGCCCCAGGATTGAGCATATATGGCGTAATAACACTACAAACAATCCCCACAATATTATAAAGGTTTCTTCCCAAAACGACCGTCTTAATTTGAAGTCTCCTTGTAGACAACTCCGCAACCAAAGAATAGCAAACCGTTCCGACAGAGAGCTGGTAAGCTAACGCCCAAACTAACATGATACAACCGGTAGCCATTGAGGCTTCACTTTTATGTGAAGCGGGGACGAGCCCGAGAAATCCGAGGATGAGAAGCATAAGGCACAAGACGCAAAGACCGTAGAGGTAAAGGGATCGTCGACCAATTCCAATACTCATGAGAAACCAGGCCCCGAATACTCCGGCCATGTTGATACCATATTGACCTAAAGCGAAATCGTATGATGTTGAGGTGGGTAGGCCGGCTTGTTCGAGGAAATAGGTAGAGTAGCCTGAAAAAGAATTCCCACTCAAATTTTGCATCGCCCATACCATGCAGACAATCTATTGACTAGGTTAGTGATGGGTTCTGTTCAATTATATCATGGAAATGTTACCTCGGTTCGACGTCTGTCTACACCCCTAAAGCAGTCCATATAGCTAGCTCCTTTCGTGAGTTTCTCCTCAATTGCGGTGGTATGAACCATCATCGCAATAGTCTCATCAGCATCAAAGTCTGTCTCCTTATTCAGACTAGTCAATCGAAGAAGTGATTTTTTAGCATCTGCAGTTCTTCCTTTTCTGACAAGCCACCATGGAGATTCTGGAGCAAGCGCAATACCAACCAAAAGTGGAACGGGCCACATCCATTGAAGACTGTAAGGAATTCTATAAGCCCATTCATCTGTTCGGGGTAACATGGCTTTGATGACTCCAATTCCAATGACTTGACCTAATCCCCAACAGAAGTTGACATATGTGGTAAGATACCCCCGGAGTCCTAGAGGGCAAACTTCTGAGGCGTAAGTGACGGTAAGCGTTTGAAAGACTCCCCATGGCTATTGAACGTTAGCAAAGCAATTCCCGCGAGCTTGAATCAAGGTGAGCTTACAATACCGCAAAGAATTTCAGCAATCTCAAGTGCAATCACGTCTTGAGCGGTGAAGAAGATGGCCGTAAACGCAATGATGAGAGTCAAGCAAGTCATGACCGTGTATCGATATCCAAATCTTTCCGATACCCAACCATTGATAAATAGACCGATAATTTCACCAACGTTCGCACCCTAGTACAAAGAAACACGTGAGCAGGTATATTCCAAGCGTTAGTGATATAATTCTTGACTTACGTTACTCAAACCGGCTTGCCATCTAGCTGGCACCTGCCATGTTCCATCGGCTAATTGTTCACCATATTTCTCGTTGAATTGAGGGAATGCATCTTGAGCTAGATTAGATATTGTTGACTCTCCAAGCATTTTGTTGAACTTACAAAAGTTACTGAGTAAACAAACATCATATCCTTCCATAGCAATACATGTTGAGATAAGAAGAGACCAAGCGATAGCCTTTGGGTACAACTTGATCCCCTGAAGTAATGTCATATTATGCTCTTTTTCCGTAGAAGCTCTCGCATCCTTAATCATCTGTTCCGTTGATGTCGTAACATTGAGATGATCTTCATCTGGAAAATGAAGAGGTTTCTCATTATTCTCAACGTGTTCGTGGTCGTGAATATTTCCCATTGCGTTATTCGTATCCGACTGATGTACGGCCAGATCGTCAGATGCTGAAGTTAGAGCCATCTTCCAAACTCGGGGACCCCACGATTCTTATGCTGCTCGTCGTTCCACTTCCAATTTCCAACTGCCCTCGTGCAGGACTAGAAGAATGCGGGGTAGGATTGTCCAGGTCTTTGGGTTTTTGATCACACTTTGACCTGGGTTGGAGGGGAAAGCAATCCTCGAATTGGAAGTTGGAGTTGCTATTTTCAAAGATTTTCAGGGTTAGTCAGTAATTGCGGGGTTTGACGGACTGCACGGCAACACTAAAATCCTGGTATGTGGTTGAGATAGTGAAGGCGTTCGGATGGCTTGCATGAATTAGTCCGCGGCCCCTTTAATGACCAATCATTGGATATATCTTCTAGGAAGTAGCTCTTGGCCAGTAAAATTACTTGAAGTTGATCATATATGGCAATTTTAAGGTCAGCACGAGGATCTTCGGTGTGATACTGTTCAGACGATATTTTGACACCTGAAGTTGATGGCAATTGCCAATATGTATAAAAAAGGCAGTTTTCGCTACAGTAATTTTATGATAGTGTTGAAATAATGCGTTGGCATTAACGTTTAAATTAGCTTGGCTTATCAAAACGGTAGTATCCTTCCTAGTGTAAGGGGTTCCCACCAATTAATATGTCGAGTTATCAATTAGCTTCTACTGTAGCTTCTTCGAATCTTCCAGAAAGAGGAATACCCGTGTTTCCTTAAAAAGCTATCGGCTCGTATATCGGAAAACTTAATTTCCGATAAGTGAATTGCACAAGTTTTGTGGTGCTCCACTTGGTACATCATTAACCTATCGTAGACCGATTGTTGCTATTCTCCAGAAGTCCAAACTTGACTTCAGATTTCTTGCATTGTGTAGCTGGATCTTGAGTTATGGAAGGAGTTACATAAGAAGCGAGGCGCGATCCAGGGGCAATGTTTCCCGTTCTCACCGAACAAACGCGAGGATTAATCGCGATGAGCGTTAATTAGTTTTACACGTGATGTGATCCCTAGAGCCCAGACTCGGAGAAATTACAGGAGCTGAAATGCAGTGCAACCTGTGCAACATCACATCAAATGTTGTGTTGTATTACAACTCCCAGGGCTGAGATTGTGTTGCAATCATGATTCATGAGATGCACTTGAGGTCAAAATTAGATTCAAGTCACATGACCATAGAAAGGAACATTTGATCCGACATCTTAAATCTTCGGACCGGGCCTGTACTAAATTAGAATGTCAAGTCACTACGATGAAGCTGGGAAACGGGCGGAAATTGAAAGAAATCGAAGCGGAGCAAAGCAAAAAGGAAGGCTTCGATGCTACTTCTGGTGTCGGATTGCTTGAAAGTTTTGCAAATGCTTGCTTCGAAGAACGATGAAGGAGAAAATTGAAATTTATGTTACTGTGAAGGCGGATGGTAAAGATGGATAGCATCCAATGGCAATTGTGGAGAGGACGATGCTGGTGATTCACCAAATATTGAAAGGTGTTCGTTATCTCCATGACGGACGATGACGACTTTGTTTTGGGTTATGAGATACTATGACTTGGGGAGAGTGTGTGGATGGCACATTTGTATAATACATGTGCTGTAGTTACTTAGTAAGAGCCAGAAGTAGGAAGGCGGAGAATCAAGATCAAAATATGGTTTTGCCGCAGTTGACTCTATAATCTCTTCGGTGGCGAAAACCAATGATACTCTCGAGCAAATTGCTTATGATATGGCTAAAGTGAAGATATCTTCCGGGAAAGAATTCTTCTCAAATCAGTTAGATGGTGCTTCATGCCATGTAAACTTCATAGAATCTCATCGTGGTATGGACAGCGCTGCTGATACCGAATGATTTTTTATGATAGCTCAAGATGGTCGAATTGCTGAGCAGATCAAAAGTGGCGTACATTAAGTGGTGACATTCGCAGATATAAGAGGGGACTTGACTTCCGCGGGTCAGGATTCTATGGAGACTTGTGTGGATAACATCATTGTACAACAAATACGCGAATCAGTCAAGGGGATGAAGGAGAGCACTGAAATCTGAGGGATGTTCATCAGAGTGGCCAATCAGTCAGTCAGTCAGCGATCAGCAAACCCTCAATTCCCAGCTAAATAACTAATGATATATCGTAGTCACCGATGAATAGCTGATATCACTAATCAGTTGCTAATCAGCTAACATATGATTATAATATAATAATAAAACATTAAATCCCTTCTTCAATTACCTACCTTCTTCCTCGACTCCATCCTTCCCCTTCATCCCTCCGATACTCCCCTTTTGATACCCTCCCCCAACTCCCTTTTTCCCCTTCATCCCTTCGATACTCTCCCTTTGATACCCTTCCCCTTCGATATTCCCTCTCATTCTTCAATACTACCTCTCCCTTCGATACCAGTATTCCCTTTTCGATATCACCCCCTTGCCCTTCAAAATATCACCAAAAATATCTCAAATCTATTCAAAAATCAACAAAATCTTATTTATTTTTAGCTAATAAGCTAATTGTTAATTAGAATATTCCCTTACTAAATAGCTGATAATATTTTGAATCTCTAACTTAATGGCTTACGATTATAGCTGACTGATTGGCCACTCTGATGTTCATTTGAGTCATTTTCTCGAGTATGGTTTCCAATATCTCATGAACCATTCAACAAGCAGAATATCTGAGCACCACCCATCACTGGTGAAGCTTTTAGCTGAGTGTCAGCAATCAAGATCACTCGGAGAATCTGATGGATCAATGGTTCTTGCCATCTATTAAAAGAGTTATGCGGGTAAGAATGAGATTTGCGTATACATTTGAGATCAATAAAGATCTTGCATATGTAACTTCCTTTGCATTATTTAGCAGGCAAAGCTCAATACTAAGTGACCTGCACAGCTCTATAAACTCAATTCTGTGACTTCTTCCGGCCAGATTCGTCATTTGTGACTCGCGATTGAAAGTCGTTACTGTTGAATGATAGACCTACCATTTCCATACAAATCTTCGTCGGGCAGGTCTCAGCCGGATAAAGCTGACGTGAAATAATATACACATCAGGCAGGGTCCCAGATACCATAACCTGTATTAATAACTGGTAGAATGGACGAGGAGATGTCTTTCCGTAACTTCATAATTGAAGGGATAATTTTCTACCTTTTATACCCAATGCAGTAGCGAACTTCATTCTAGTGACTTGAGCTTGCTTGATCAGCTGGACTGATTAACATCTTTCAATCAGTGGAACATCTTTAGGGTTAGATTGACTTATTAATCTAAACCGAGGGCTTAGTGTAAAGTAAAGAAAGGTGCACGATTCCAGGACGGCTCCAAAAGCTTGAAGAAAATTAGCCTGGAGGATACCATCATCCTGCCACAGGAAACCAGCCAGCCAAGTTGATCGCGACTTCCTCTAATTTATGTCGGAATTACACTGACGATTTGTAAGCATTGAAGGCGGGTCGTCATGGACTCGTATGTCTTCCCTCAAAATTGGAAGGAGCTCTTTGGTGTGCTCATGTGGCCATGCAATTCTAATGTCTAATATTGAAATCACTTCCCCATCTAAACGAAAAAACTTCTCAAAATCTTTCTCCCTTTGCTTGTATCTCAGTACTTCACTGATCAATCTTGGCAATACACATTCAACATTGCTTGGCCTTTTATTCATCGATATTTGCTTCAGAAGATTCAATATTGCTTGGGACATCAACTTCAGGACATTCAACATCGATTCCTTGACCAAAGCCGATAGGTCTGAACATCACACGTCGACAAAATTATACTCGATTATCACACATCGACCAACAACAAGAGCAATATGCCCCTCTCGGAATGTCCTGCAGAGCTACTGGATATGATTTTTAACGACATATACTTTTTGGGTGAATTGGACGATGTTGAACGAACTTCGGTAATCAGACTGATGGTATGCTCTAAGCGTCTCTACGAGGCTGGGGCCCGTCGCCTCTATCGGCACGTCGTGGGAGTTCATGACGAAAAATTGAGGTTGTTTGCGAGAAGCGTCGCGGAGAACCCAGATTTAAGAGCTCTTGTTACTTATTTATGGTTCGGGAAACGATCAGACGACATCGACCGCCACAAATTACCACAACATTCGATTTTCGATTGCGAAATGATGATCGACGAGGATGGGACACCAGCCTGTATCAAAAAACGACACACTTGGTCATGGTTGGCTGCGCAGAAAAACTCCTTTTGGCACACTCTTGCCATTCTTATTTTCCTCCTTCCAAACCTCAGAAAGCTGACTCTACCAAATGCGCGCAAGAAAGATCCTGGAGACTACCGAAAATTTGTTCGATTGATTGATGGTATAGTGACATTGCAAAGGATGAACGGCGAAGTGCCAACACCTTTACACGCGCTGCAGGAAGTAATCATTTGCGACTCTTCAGGAGACTGGGAGCTCGATGATGACGATTATCATGCTGAACATGGATGCTCGCAAAATCGAGTCCTCAGGATTGTATGTATAAACATTATTGCTTCCTTCTCGGGACTAAAATCGATACAAAGTATTGAAGTGGCATTTTCTAAGGTCTTCCGATCAACGGGCTTACAAAAGGACGAAAAACCATTGAAATTATTGAAATTGAATTCGTGTAAAATGAATGACCTTCATTTGATCGCTTTGCTCCAATCAATACCGAATATTAAGGAATTTCAATACGAAACACCACGCGACCATGAAAGTTGTCATAATCTTAGATGCTTTTGGGAAGTTGTCAAGACTTTGTCCCCTATAAAACATTGTTTGGAAAATCTTCTAATATTTACTGAGGAGTGGCAGCTGGAAGCCGATGAACCTACACCGGAAAGAATGGGGACTTTGGTGGATTTCACGGCCCTTCATACACTTGAATGCGTAGGTGTCTCGATGGGACTGACACTGTTAGATGTCAATGATGATCCACTACTTCAATTGGCGGATATACTCCCCCCAAGTCTACGGTCCTTACGTTTGGTCGCAAGGGATTGGTTCGTGTCGCGTAAGTCCCTACTCCGACCGGATGAGGTAGAAGAGAGGAGGAATTTCTTACTCCAAATTAACAATCTCCTCAATGAAAAGTGGGTACGTGTTCCAAAGCTGGAGGTTATTTGCATCGACTTGGGACAACCTGTTCCATGCTATTGTCATGGTGGCGAGTACTGTGACAACACGTGCCCAGCAATGCAGTCCCAGCCTGAGTTTCTAGAATTCGCGGAGGCATGCCTTCTAAGGGGCATCAGGTGCGTGTTTTATGAAAGCCGCTGCCGTGTAGCTCGCGTTTAAACAAAATAAGTCGGACTGCCGGTATATCAGAACTTCGCATTTTGAGAATTGTCACTCGTTCGTTTCTATACCTAATATCTCCTCATGCGAGGCACGACTCTGCGGTTGCAACTTGCCACCTCACGTTGTGTATTGTCACTGCACAACAACACACTGGATCGAGAATCTTACATTCTTTACGAAGTTCCTTTCTGGTACCATTTATTGGACTCTCTAGTACGATCCCGAAAAAGAATTTGATCCAGATGGATTGTGAACCTCCTAGCGATAAATGTCATGAATGCCTTTTGTTGACCTATATCTAGGAAGCATGTTCGAGAAGAGGTATTCATTTGCTTTAAAGTCACCAAGAAGGGTTTACTGCCAAGATAGAGCTGGATGCCCAGAGCTTGCGGAGACCGTTAAGGAGGAAAGTATCACTTATTTGTTTTGAGGGATGCAGACGAGGTTATTTGACGATTTGAGCCAACGTGGATTGGAGTTATTGCATCTTGTATCCGACTCGAACCGCTCTTACAACATTCCATTTGATCAGGCCTTGACTGAGTCTTCAAGCTGCATGGGTACAAGACATGGGGTGTGGTCTAGATTTCGGCCGGGGGTAGTGGAAACAAATCCCAACGCAATGAATGAGTCTGCTCATGTTCTGGTTCGAGAAAGCAGATTTCGTTTGAGAGTATCGTTTGTTCTGAGGGATTTTGGAGTTCTCTTAAATTATATGGTAGTTATAAATATCGTTCTCTGGCAACTACCAGTGTTGGTATTCATAGGTTGTATACTTTTATGAGAATACAGAGTATGCTCAACTACTGCGCTCACTGTCTTCCTCGATGTAACGATGAAGTACATTGACATTACAAACGTTCACGATCAATATCTCCATGTAGTATTCCCCCACATTTAATCAGCTTACACCACTTGGAGCTTCTCAACTGGCTGATTATAGTTTTATCTATTGTTGGAATATGCAATACGATAGTGAGATTGTTCCATTCGAAACCATGAATGTTGACGACTTTGAGGTTTCGACTTCGATTCCTTTGAGAAATAGAACTTCTTTAAGTAATAGCTATTCCAGGCACTTGATCTGATTAACACGATGTAATATATTCGAGTACTCATATATTTAATCATTGAAATATACAGTACTCGAGTTATATGTTTTGATCAAAAGTCAAAAGTCATTTGCGGAGCATGTGCGGGGTATTATTCATCGGGGGAATTTTCCGAGGATAAACCGCCAACATTCATTCATGCACTAAAACTTTAAATAGTCATCACCTATATTTTTATCACCACATCACCACCAAACCCACCTATGCAAATATCATTGTCGTCGTTGGATGGAATTTGGATACCTACATGGACAACAATGCTGCCTGGTCGGATATTATGCAACATTCGTTGTATATCCGGCGCTTGAGGTGGGGGTAGAGACTTGGAACGGAGTTAGATGACGGATGCGGAGATCTGGCACGAACGATGGGATGCATACCTAGGTATAAAGAGAACGGTGGCCCCCGCCTTAAAAACTATTTCCACATCGATCAATAAGCTATTCATTTCAAAGAAAACACCAAACAATATCTCAACACACAAACTTCGAAATGCCTCAACTTCCCACTCGTAAATTGGGCAAGAATGGCCCCCAAGTCGTCGCGCAAGGCTTCGGAACCATGGGTCTAAGTGCCTTCTAGTGAGTAGACCCCCACTCGTACAATTACTTCACTCTGTCTACCTTCCTCCAAACTGAACCTATCTAACTCTTCATCAGCGGCAGTACCGGAACGGATGACGAACGTTTCAAGGTCCTCGACCGCGCCTATGAACTCGGACAGACCAACTGGGACTCCGCAGACATGTACGCCGACTCTGAAGACCTCATCGGGAAATGGTTCAAACGGACCGGAAAGCGGGATCATATATTCTTAGCCACGAAATTTGCGAATAAAGTAGGTAAAGATGGAAGTTTTAGTGTCGATTCCAGTCCGGAATATGCAAAAGCTGCGTGTGCGAAGAGTTTACAGAGGCTGGGTATTCAAACCATCGATTTATATTATTGTCATAGGGTGGATGGGAAGACACCTATTGAGAAGACGGTGGAGGCTATGGTTCAGTTGAAGAAGTGAGTATATACAACTTGCAACCAAACATACGCCATGTTGAAGCCATGCTAACGAACGTGCCAATAGTGAGGGAAAGATCAGATATATAGGACTCTCGGAAGTTAGCGCCAATACCATCCGTCGTGCGGAGAAAGTCCACCATATTGATGCGGTGCAACTCGAGTACTCTCCATTTACAATGGATATTGAACAAAATGATGTTTTGAAGACTTGCCGAAAACTTGGAATCGCTACTGTCGCATATGCGCCTCTTGGCCGGTATGAATCCAGCCCATGGATCCCCCTCTAAGTATCAACACAATGCTGACTCGTTTCCAGTGGTTTCCTCACAGGGCAATATAAATCTCGCGACGACTTCGAGGCCGACGATTTCCGCCGCTTCGCCCCCCGCTTCTCCGACGAGAACTTCCCAAAGAACCTCGTTCTCGTGAACCAATTGGCAGAAATCGCCTCTAGGAAAGGCATCACACCCGGACAATTAGCATTAGCATGGTTGGCTGCCCAAGGTGATGATATTATCGCGATCCCGGGAACCAAGAAAATCAAATACTTGGAAGAAAATGTGGAAGCCTTGCGTGTGCAACTTAGTAGGGAGGAGGAGAGGGAAATCAGAACCGCCATTGAAAAGGTAGATGTGGGTGGAGCAAGATATCCCGACAAAATGGGTGGCCTCACGTTTGGAGATACGCCGGAGTTGTAATGTCCTGATGGTCAGTAGCGCTGCGTCTTGTAATTAGTTCGAAAATGAATGCTACGAGATTTTCCGCTGCTTTGATGCCTGACTTCTGTGTAACTCGGGGTGGAAAAGTGATGGTGACATTCAGATAGACTGTACGTACATTCATTGCTTCTACATATCATGGTAAGTATCATATATACAGTATGGGTAATGCGTGCCTTTTGTGAGCATAGAATTAGTTAGGATGTGTTTTAGTCGTCGGAATGGGAACAGCTTCGTGTTGCTGTTGGGTGGGTGGTTAGTAGGGGCATTGGTTATGATAGTTTTAGTGGTCACGCGATATTAGGTTATAGTATCTATCGTATTAGCTGGAGATATTTAGGTGGATTGGACTGACTGGATTTGAGGGGTGGAGGACTGAGTTGTGCTTCCGTGTAGTGTATGAGGATGAGGACGGATGTGCTAGGTGTTTAGTAGTAGCGATTGATTGATGATGTCTTGTTTTGGGTTTCTGGGTTTGTGGGTGTAGAGAATGTGATGTGGGACTTGATCCGGGGGTTGTGTAGGTTGTTATCTGGTCTAAAAGGGAGGGAAAGGAAAAGATTGGGAGGTGAGGAGGTATTGAAGGATGAGATCGGAGGGGAAGAGATGTGATGGATGGTGGGATGAACAAGGGAATTGGCTCATGGGAAGCTTGGGGAGCACGGATCACTTGGTTCCATGTGGGATCATTACCTAGGTGTTATCTTATCTCATCCTCACCCCTTCTTTTCGTGATTATATAAGCGTAAAATCTACAAACTATCCAATCAGAGGTATGTGTGGAGTTTAACTTGTATACTCCACATCGGTAAAAATAAGAGCCATTTTAGTACTAAAACACTAATAATTATTTTCGCGAAATTACATATTTACTGTGAATATCGTAAACTCACTTGCACTCCACGAGGGACTGAACATGAGAGAACCTAGGTGTGTCAAAATCATCTTGTCTTGCAGATGTATTCTCATTCTAACAGTAGGCATAAGGTATCAATTCGCAAGATCGCTCAACTTCTCCACTCCATCACCCATGATATGGTATCCTTCCTATCCAGAACCAAAACCCACGCCCTCCATCAAATATGCCAAAACAATTCGTCATGCTTGCCATTTAGTTTTCGTCAAATCAAATGCCAGAATCACCGCTGGTTCGGTCCTCGAAAGGTGAATATTGCGCTTCGGTGTCCTTTTCGACATATATGCCGATTGATCCGGACCTTTTTTTTTTTCAATAGCTCCCTTACTCGCCGCCTCAAATCCCATCAACCCACCAACTACCCCTCAATAACATATACGTTAGTATAGTATTGTATGTGTATATGTGTGGTGTGTGTGTGTGTATGCAAAAGTTGCTCCCTGGGTCCCATAAATGGAACGCAGAAGAACGTCATGGCTTCCAAGTGGGCTAAGCTCCAAGTACTTATTCAGTACTCGTCGCCCTTTGCCTTGCCGGCAGCAACGTCACTCAAGGAGTGTTGCTGATCGGCGTTTAGGCGTTGCTGCGTAGCAGCCTCGTCTCGACGACTTTCATCATCGGCGGATCGCATGGCGTTCACTCGAGCCATCTCCGCGTCTCGGAGGTCCCGAAGTCGTTGAGGAGCCATTGCTACGCTCCTGTTGACATCGTCCTCCCAAGGATCCGGTCTCAGACCCAAGCGCTCCATCACCGTTCGATAGCTTTTCTCGTCCAAGCGAATCATGTGCGCCTTTGGGGCATACCTGTTGCAAGCCTGCAACTGTTTGAGCGGAACGGCGTAGATATGGTAAACGCGCACGTACGTTCGCCTTTGCATGGTTCCCCTCGAGAGAAACAACAGATTGTTGCCATCTCGATCGAGCTTCTCACGTTCCTCGATCTCGGTGCGCCGTTCCACATTCGCAACTTTTTCGAGTTTCGCACGATTGGCCTCACCGCCAAATATGTTTGGCGTCCAGGATAGTGGCATGGTGTATTGGAAATACCAATTGCTCGATGGATCTGGACCAAGGTTGCGCATCTTCTTCATATATTGTCTAAGCGTGAGCCCATTCAAGGTTGTCATCTGTTGTGACATTCAGTTAGCAAAGGCCATTAATGGTGCAGGCTTGTGTATGTGAGGTTGAAAGAACAATGATGCGATGAAAGAGTAATGGGGTTGTACAATATTGAGATGGGATTAGGGAGAGGGATCAAACAAGAGATCCTATCTGACCTCTCCCACAAAGTGGTATGAAGACGAGTATAAAGACAAGACAGCAGATCAAGGGAAACTTACGATAGCAACATCAAGGACAATATCCCCAATGATGTCAGAGCCATGTCGTTGGTGGATTTGCAAGATGGCAACCGGGTGGTTTCGACCTTCCCTGTCCTTCTCCGGGTCATTGCACTCATGGTTCTTGACGCATTTGATCGGCTCATGCCAATCTTCGTACTCGGACAACCACACAGTGGCACCAGGAATCATATCCTCGGCGGAAAGAAGATCCTTCTTAGGTTTCATCTTTGGCTTTCGTTTGATGACAACATCGTTGCGATTAGTGATTGCACTGTCCTTACTGCCAGACGTGCTTGCTGGTGTTGGATGTGGTACTCTTGGGCTGAACGCTGTTGAGTCTGGTGTTTGCTGAACTGGGGGACTCGTAATCATCTGACCCATTCTATTGTTGCCCGGAGTAGCCAATGGATATTGTTCATTCAAAGGCCCCGTAAGATTACCTCCATATGGAGCGGAAGTGGCTGGTGCGACCGAACCTTGGGGACTGTTATACTGAGATACTCTATGCAAATTGATAGCAAGTGGTGCAATTGGATTGAAACCACTGTTGTATTGGGTGTATCTCTGTGGCGCGGGAGTCGATTGGTAGGGTGTACTGTTGTTGTTTCCCTGCGGAGCTGGATCAAAGTGGCGGAGAGGGTTGTCTGTCTGACCAAATCCATTAAATTGAGGACCTGCCGCGCCTTGGTAGTATGGCACATTACTTGTATGAGTACCATTGTTGAGTGGGAAGTAGAGAGGATTGGTCATTTGAGCAAATCCATTAGAAGGAGGTACTGTCGCTCCTTGGTAGTATGGAAGGTCATAAAAATGAGTGCCATTGTGGGTTGAGACGTGAGGATGGCTGGCTATCTGACCATGACCATAACCATGACTTGGAGGAAACGACGAGTCTTGGGTATATGGCATGTTATGAGCATGAGTGCCATTATGGGTTGGGAAGTGAGGATGGTTGGCAATCTGACCAAATTCATGAGGTGGAGGAACTGGAGAGCCTTGAGAATATTGCGTGTTATGAGGGTGAGTACCATTCCAGGATGCGAAATTCGGGAGGGAGGGGGTGATGGGTGATGAGTTTGGTGTGAATCTTGGGGCAGCAGGGTTGAAGAAATAACTGTTTCGACGCGCCATTTTTGCAAGATGAAGAATCAAAATGGGAGTACAAGTGGTAGACAACTATCTTGTTAAAAAGAAGGGATTTTGAAGAAGGTATGAAAGTAGTAAAGTTGCAAGATTGTGGTGGTTGTTTTGTCGATACAAGATTGTGATACAAAATTGTTGATACAAGAGTGTCGAGGTATTCGGTTGGGAAGAGGGAGCTGTGCTGTAGCAGCTCTTTTGGGAATAGTCGATGTCATAGAAGATGGGGAATATTGTTTCCAGAACCAACTTTATCTTATTATGGTGAATACAAATTCCCAATTGACTATGATGATTGGTTGTAGTATGATATCTTTTGGGGAAAGTCGATGACCTGGAAGATGGGGAAAATTGTTGCTTGAACCAACTTTCTCTTGTCATGGATCAATCAGAAATCCCAATTGGCTATAATAGTTTGTTGCTTTAGAAAAGATATTAAACATGGATATTCATTGTCATGGTGAAGTTGTGACAGCAACCTCTACTCTAAACACACCTCCAGACTCTTTACTCTTCAGAAATAACAATCTGAGGTGGGTTATCAGAAAATTAGTCTCGGAGCTTGGTCAAAGAAGTGGCTGTTTGCTATATATAAGAGCCAAAGAGAGATGACAACCTTTCTCTCCTTCTTTATCGGCAGACAGGCTTTTCGCCTGTCCAGATTTCTTCGTCTGATGTAAAGATCCATTGGTCTTGAGTGAATCTTTCAAATCAAAGTTTGAACCGAACCAAACCGAATGGAACCGATCTGCCACTCCACATTTGGAATTTGAGCTCACCACATTTCATACATATCCAACATCATCTACACATCTATAGTGTGCTCTGCCAACTATGGTAATAAGTCTGATCAAACTATCCCACTCATATATTGGTAATGTTAGAGCAGGAAGCGCCTTTCCGATGTGGTCACTATTCAATATTAGGAATAGGAAGTGAATACGAATATTGAGATATTTAAAACTTACAATTTCCCCGCAAAGTATATTCGCTTCTTAAAAACCAAAAAATCATGGTCATCGATAGCCGAGGATGGTACTTTCATGATACCAAATCATCTCAACACTATAATCATGACGAGGCTATCGGAGTTTTTGGCAAAAGGGTCGCAATTGGTTCAACTCTACTGGCAGGCTTGCACTTTTCAGTAAAGACATTTCCATTTCTTCGCTGAAAGCTAGTCTCTAATGAGGATGCTGAGATACATGATTCTGGGAGAGCTATTATATATAGTGTCCTCTCTATGGTTGTCCTAAACTGATCACCAGCCCCATCGGCAAACCATCCAAACATAATCGAAGTTTGTACAAGAGATCTCTGATAGTGTGACACGTATGTACAAGAGCTCTCTGACGGTATGATATGTGCAAACATTGCTCTCTGTCCGCACAACAACGTTCCTACACTAAGCCACCTTGGGAGGAAGAGAAAACTGACGCCTGACGACCTTTTGTTTTTGTCGATCTAACAAATTTTGAGGCAGGTAGATGTCCAGATATTTGTTGACTGAATTCTTAAAGTTGTACTCGAACTCGGCGTTGCAGAATGAAGAACATAGCTCATCCTTGGGCTTACAGTTGCCAGGCGAAGATGAATTATATTCTTCTTGCACAACGGCGCTGGTAGTGCGGACTCTTAGGCGATAAAAAGTGCGGCGAGAGGTAACCAGCCGAGTCAGTCTACGTCAATACTCCCCAATGCCCGAAAGCCCCACCGAAATTGCCCGTTACTCCATCGAGTGAGTGACACGTACCGTTCCTACAGTCGTAATAAGTACACGTGTTTCAACCCAATGGCGTAATAAGCCGAAGAAACGGATTGAGGTCCTCGTAGGTTGTCCTCGGACTCGGCGTTGCAGAACGAAGAACATAGCTCATCCTTGGGCTTATAGTTGCCAGGAGAGGGTGGATGCTATTCTTCTTGCACAATCGTGCCGGTGCGGACTCTCATGTGATAGAAAGTGCGGCGAGAGGTAGGTCGTTCTCGGACTCGGATCCACAAGAAGAGGAGGATTGGTCGTCTTCGGACGATGGCGGCGTTGATGGCCTGAACTCGCAAGCAAGAGGCTTGAAATGCACTCATTGTGCCAATGCTGCTTCGTCCAGTTCGGGAGTTGTCGGTGGTGTTGGCGGTGGATTTGGTATCTTAAAGACGCCCGCAAGAGGATTGAACTCCATACGTTTCACCAATGGCGCAACTCGCTTGTCGAAGATTGCCTCATCGGCGGGCAATCCAAAAATCTCCCGCACCTTACCGTAGCTCTCCCTATTCAAACGCACATACCTTGCCCTCTGCAAGCCGTCATCTCTTGCTACCACGTCTGTTCCGTGGTAACAATGCAACTGGTTGAGAGACACACGGTAAATGTGGTTGACTTCTAGGTAGAGCTGTCTACCGGTCTCGCCACTCTCTAGGCCCAACAGTGGCTTCCCCAAACTTTCAAGCAATTTATGCTCTGCCGCTTCGTCACCTCTTCCACTCCCATTGTACTTTATTGGCACAGAAGCCAAACGCTTCGGGTGCGTCGTGCAATACGTTTGCAGAAGGGTTTCTCGTCCGAAGCTGGTGATCTGCAGTAATCATTAATAACTATACACTGATAAGTTTTCATGGTATGTATGGATCTTACTGGTACAATTTCTAAGGTGATATCACCTTCTTCTGTAGAACCTGGGCTCATATAATGACCCACTACTAAGAATGGATGATTATAACCCCCCCTTGTTCAGCTCCCTCTCCCAACATTTATGACCCCCCGAGACTCGACAACAAGTGAAGGGCTTTGACGGATGATTGCCCGTATCTGGTGTCGGCTCGTGAGCCCAAAGTATAACTCCGTTACGGAGCAGCGTGTGGTCTAGAGGCGTTTTAATTGTCGTCTTTGGAGGCCCTGTGCAGGTTGATTAGTATCAGCCTCATGTAGTATGTTTCAAGTCAAGTATGTCTTACCTCTACTCCATCTGCTCCGTGTGTGTGTACGTGCAACCTGTTGTTGTTGCAATTTATACTGCCAGTGCTGCCAGTGCTGGTAACCCTGGTTCGACATGTTATAGTTGGCCTGTTTGCCGTGGTAGTATGAATTATTCATGACTACGGCTGGAGATAATATAAAATTATATATGTCAATTTCGAGTAAAAATCGATGGATTGTACGATGCACAAGGAAGATTTGATCGAGAGAAAAATGTTCCTTCTTATACTTGATGGTGTTCAGGAGCGAGTCCTTGTTTCCCTGAGTAGTCTTGGACTAGTGTTTAGCTTGAACCTTCTTCAGTACTCGAGTACATCGGTATATTTACAGGTTTAGGGTGCGGAGAACAAGAAAATCTCCATCGGCAAGGGTCAAGCCTCAGTAAAGTTGTATCGAGCTAAGCTGGCTCATCATTAAAGTTTTCTGGTTCCCTGAATCGCTTACTAGCTTCCATAATTTGAAATAACTATCTGATACTTGTTTTCGTTATTCTAGCATCTGATCGTCGGCATACGACACAAAATAATCACCCGTCAACACAATCGTCCAGACCAATGTGCATCAAATTTATGCACCGATAGTTCGAAGTATGGAGGTTTATACACTCAAGGAGCTTGAGTCCAGAGATCAGCTCGATAACGTCATTTTTAAACCTCAGATTTTCCTTGTATGCAATCTAGCCCTTTATTTTTTCCCGATCGTTCGGTACTCATGGGGAAGACCGAGCCACGGGCAGGTGCCAAAGCGCGTATATGGAAAGAGCACCCGGCAGCGAATTCTGCCACTAACTACACACCCCGAAGCTTATGAATGCACAATTAGAATGGCTTGTGAGTTCTCGTTGCCAAGGCAACCAGTGATCTTGATTTTCCCTCTTTAGTGCTCCCTTCCTCTTCCTTTCCTCTCCTCTCCTGTTCCTAACCTCTATAAAAAAAAGGCTTTCCTATCCTGCTCCTAACCCCGGAAATATTGCACTCCTTCCTATCTTTAGAGCTAGGATAGAAGATGAGGGAAAATCATGATCGCTGAAGGTAACACTTGCAAGATATCTACACAGAATATTTTTAGGACTATACGTGATGGTAGTACACGCAGATCATCGTTCTCGCAGAGTTGGGGGGCTAATGATGGAATGGGTTAATACAATGATTAACAGCATGGGAATGATTGGTTTACATCAAGGCAAATGAGCTTGGCAGACAGATGTATGAGAAGTGGGGATACAAGGTTTTTTATGAATCTCGCTTATATTTATTCCTTCTGCCAAGTCAGATCTATGGATTAAGTTCGCCCATGAAACGAAGATGGGTTCCATGACATACGAGTAAGTTCAATTGACTGGTTCTTTGATTTGACAGAAGAGCTGACTCGCTGATGCCAAATCGTCCTTGCCGCTGACTAGCTGATATCGCTGATCAGTTGCTCCTTGTTTGGTAAAAGAAATATTGATTTACCCACACCCCAACCCCCCCCCCTTCAATACCCTTCCCTCTTTCCCCTTTTGTCTTTCATCCCTCCCTTCTATATGAGAGTCTTACTCAATAAGCGATTTTTATAACCTGTATGTTCTATACTTCTACTACTAATACTACTATTACTACTACGCAACGGGCCCCAGCGGGTTGCGGGCAATTTTGCGCAGTCTTAGTCTTAGTCTTCTAGTGTGAACAGGGACGAAGAAAATCATCGGCGATAATCGTAGGCCTACTAGCCCCCCCACTCGTCCCTCTCCCACCTACCTACCCACATATACATCCAACCCACGAG